ACTTTGGACTTTGTGAAGGCAATGATAGAACAGTTCAAAGATCAAAAGAAAATTCATAAAAAATATGCATACATGGTAGGGTATTGTTTATGATATATAATGGAGTGTGTAGTGTCATATTCATGAGGAGTGCAATAATGGGAGGCTGTAATATTATTGTATAATTATTGGTTTGTATATTTTSTGTGTTAGATGTTAAAAGATATGAAATCATTTTTGGAAAAACAACCATCTTTAGTGGAAATATCAATACCTAAGGTGAGCATTAATAAATAATTTTAATAAATAATTTGAACTCGGTGATAATCAAATAGTGAAATTGATARGTAGAAAGTGGCAAAGGAAGCAGGATAGAAAGCTCATCACTTTACTGCTTCTTTTACACTTCCATAACTACTTCCTTTTCCGTGTGCAGTTTCACATGGGTGTGGTTTAAGAATGTCTAAGTTGAAACTTACCTTAGAAGGAGATATGGAWATGATAAGAAAGCTTACTGACACATTTGCTGTATGTTTTTTGTCTTGTGCACAAAATCAACTGTACCATATTTTCATCATGTAGACTGTAAACTGGTAAATGATGTCTCGTTAGTTATCGTCATTATGAAATGTGAATTCAAAGATGATGATGATTGATTGAAGTGTCATTTTTTAAATTTCTTTTTTTAGGAAAATAAGTTTACAGTGTGTGGCGACATTCATGGGCAGTTTTATGATCTTTTGAATATATTTGAACTAAATGGAATCCCTTCAGAAGAYAATCCTTATGTATCCTTTGCTGAACTAAAATTCCAGAAAACAAGGACCTCTTGTACATTATTTCATAGGTTTAAGTCTAGCTACAAGTCTGGGAAATCCTTTTGCTTTAAACCTGGCATGTTTGAAGGCCCATTTACACTTGCAATGTTTGAAGCGCGACTATCGCCTGAGGTTTTGAACATGCTAGAAATTTAGCTGCCACTTCACAGCGATTTTCAATSGYCGCAACAAMCCYAGGACTGTGTACACRTATGATTTTAGGTGCACAATAGAMAATCATTCTGCAAAAATMGCAAGTGTAAATWAAAGGAGTTTTCTAAATAACAAGTAATATAGTGAGGTAAACGAACAATAGAGTGAGAACAACAAAACAGAGATACAAACAAAACAGGAACAAGACTGAATGATATGAACAAACAGAAGCCTGGGTTAATCTTCTTTTAGTTATTTATTGTAGTTATTAATTATCTATTTATTTAATGAAAATCATTTCCTGTTTGACATTATTWAATATTAATTATAATTTTAGTTTTACAATTCTTATTCTATTWATCCTTAATTAAAATTGTCAGCTTTTTAATGGGGATTTTGTAGATAGAGGGTCATTTTCCTGTGAAGTTATTTTTACGTTATTTGGTTTTAAACTYCTATACCCAGAACATTTTTTTATGTCGAGAGGTATGTTGTTGTAACATAAWATATTTTTTTACTTAAAGCATGAGGTTGACCAATGCTGAAAATCATGCATGGGTATATGAAAGTCATGATATCCTTTCCAATGTTTTTGCTCAGTCATTACCAATTTATCATCCATGAATCTTAATAATCTATGGAATGATCTAACCACAATCACCTGATTCATAACATAGCATTAAGTGGCAGTATTGTTTCTATGTGGACAATGAAAATAATTATTATTTGAAGTATTTATGATTATTATAATTGTGTTGCTAGGTAATCATGAAAGTACATCTATGAATCAGATGTATGGTTTTGATGGAGAGGTCAAGTCTAAATATCCTTTGAAACAGAATTTGAATACCTATTTTTGCCATACTAGGTTTAATAAATTAGATATAATCATTGTTACAGTTGAATGGCACCCAGTGGCACTCTTTAGGGGTCACCCTCCAGCAAGCAGACACTTGCAAAATTAGTGAAAGTTGCTTCTTAGGAAGTGGGGGTTGTAGGGGTGTGTGTAATGCTTCATAAAGGGGGTTGCTGCTTTGTAGTTTAGTTGATTGACTACTAAATTGCATTAGAAGTACCGGTATTGATTAAGATTCAAACAAACCAWCTGGTGAACTATCTTAAAATGTGTTATCCTATTGATTTGKGAAGTCCCATCTGCCAATAAAGAGGGGTTCCAGAACCGCTGAATTAGGATGAGGTAGGGTTATGAAGTGTTAAACGATGGAGGTTGTGAACACAAACATTTTGCCTGATATTTCTTAACACTGTCTAAATATACTTCAGAAATGGTTGAGCTTTTTACAGAAGTTTATAACTGGCTGCCATTGTGTCATCTTATTGACARAAAAGTTTTGGTATGCATGAGATACAATTATGCAAATATAACCAATATGTAAATGAGATTTCAATTGGGATGAAATTGTTTTGTAGGTAATGCATGGAGGGTTGTTTAGCAATGATAATGTCAAACTAAATGATCTGTGTGATATATCTAGAAACAAACAACCTCCACAAGAAGGTAAGAATGTATACAATGTATTCCCATTAAAAACAAACAAACAACAACAACAACAACAACAACAAAGGTAGGAAAAAACACAAGTGAAGTCTTATGCCATTTCATAAACAGGATCACGTTTTACTGATAAAGGGGTCCTGAAGGGGATAATATTCTTTCAAATCCTAATTCCCAATTCTAGTTGTGTTATAGCATTCTTGGACCAATCCCTCAATGGTTTGGTTTATCTCCTCCTACTTTGTTAATTGTCTTTTTAGCTTCTTATTTTGTATATATTCATATTGTGACTGCTTCTTTGTTGCTGCAGGTCTTATGTGTGATATACTGTGGTCTGATCCACAACCTCAGGTAAGAATARCAGTTGTGGACCTATTGMCAGTTAATTTKAACCAAAAGYYTCATTTATTGTGTTTTCATTAAAGCCTGGTAGGTCAACAAGTAAACGTGGAGTTGGAATACAATTTGGTCCYGATGTTACAGAGAAATTTTGTGAAGATAATAATTTGGGTAAGTATTGTTTCCTAGTACATAGGTATACAGGGGCAGATTTAGAGGGATGAAGGGGAGCAGTGGAGACCCTTCCTTTCTGTTGAATAATTATTCTTTCRCATTTTTCAACATGTGTATCTAATGTTGCATCTCAAAACTTTGCTAGAGTATATTATACGAAGTCATGAAGTCAAACCTGAAGGATATGAAGTAATGCACAATGGAAAATGTATAACTATATTCTCAGCACCAAATTACTGGTGAGTTGTCTTGGAACTAAAATTATGATACCACAYCACTCTTGTTTTCCAAATCACATCAAGCTCTGGCCTTCATCTTACTGCATCATGACACATTAATGTAACCCTTCATTCCATTTGGCATAGTACTCTTTGCCATTATGAAGGTAGCTTTGTCTTGTCACAAGAACAAAWCATCTGGTGGGCGAAGTTACAGTCATCACCAATATCTGTCACTGCAAGCTTAACTCTGGTTTTCTTGCTCACTGCTACCTCTTAAGTTCCCCTTCAGGGAACTCTGAAGGTCCCTATTGTACTCTTTTAATATCATCTTCTATTCATAGTGACCAAATGGGGAATAAAGGAGCATTTATAACAATGGGTAGTGACTTAAAACCAAATTTTACAACATATGATGCAGTTGTAAGTATTCCTACCATACTAGTATTATATATATTATATTATACACATTTTATTATTTCTTTTCATACAGTGATGTGAAATTATTCCCCTCCCCCCTCCCCTGGATCATTAGATTAGTCTTTGTTGTTAGTTCCTCAATGATGTCCAAATGCATTTTTTTCTATATATTAATATATTTTTATTGCATATGAGAAATAATGTTCGACCATCTACCTTTCAGCCACATCCAGATGTCAAACCAATGGCATACTCCAATTCCCTCATGCAGATGTTCGGCTTTATGTAGTCTGACTGCTTTCCTTCTGCATCTTATMAAAAAATAGTTCCTTTGCCATCTATAAAGGTAACCAAACCTTTGCAAGTAAGACAGGCATCAAGCCTGCAGTGATAAATCMCACCTATCAGTCATTGCAAGCTCAACCAATATCTTGCTTTGACGCAAAGGCATGGCTACCTAGCATTCAAGATGGCAATTGGAACTGCGAATGAAATATTTTGTTAAAGATATAGTTCAAGAGATTGGGAAAATCCAACACCTGGACATTTTCACCATTTGGAATGATGAAATGCATTTGTGCAATTGGTGTTAGTCAAGTAGATTAATGTACATACGGGTTATGTGTGCAGTGTACATATCTGCATAGTATATGAAGGATAGTGTAGCTTATACAGAAAATACAAAATGATTTGTTGAAACAAATCTTATTTCTGTAGAGCAGATTTTGAAAAAAACTGTTAGTGGCTTCCAATCATGTACAATATAATTTGCTATGATATACGCTATGATATACGCTATGATATACGCTATATACGCTATTTGCTATGATATACGCAAAGACTGATGTCAACTTAGTGTCCAGTATGTACATTATCAACATTGTGTGTATTGTTTCACAATACCATGCTATTTTGAAGGGAGAAATTAATAATTTATGTTGTTAACCTGGTTGATTAAATACATACACATTTTTGTAATAAAAGTGACAAATATGGTTTTGAATCTTGACTGAATACAGATAACACATGGCTTAGGAAATGTGCAGTGATGCCATTTTGAGCAGCAATGCATGATGGTAGTTGTAGTCCTCATACKTTTTTATTTCCACTACAACAGTCCTCCTAAGCAGTTTCTGCTTTTCCYAAGCAAAAATATAATTAGTTTTACCATTTCTGCTAAGGTAAAACAGCTCTCATATGAGATGAGGACTACAACTATCATGCTTTGCTGCATAAAATGACATTGCTGCACATTGCCTATTGGGATGTCAACTATATTATGAAACTTTTGTTGACTATGGTAATGTTTGTACATGATTATCACAGCTGCATTGGCTTGAGACATATATCAAGTGTGCAATGATAGATGATCTGTTAATATATTGTCTGTAGATGTGAAAGAAATTCTATCATTTAATTGCAAGCTCAATAGTCATCTCACTTCCATGCAAAGACAATGCTTTCAAGCTGTATGYATATTCAATTCATTGAAATGCTTGTCATGTATTTCTAGCTGTTTCAAAGTAATTGTTCATGGCAGTGCACAGGGTCAAACATCAAGCAATAAACCTCCAGTAAACAAATCTTTTATTGTCATTAGACATCCAGGTCATTCTCTGACATGTACATCACACTTGTTTWAACAAAAGGTATTATTATATTGTCATCAAAACTAAAAAAAAGAATGAGATTAAATAATTTGAAACACTCAGGGCTACCTTTTCAAGTTAGTTACACTCTACTTGATAATAAATTATTAAAAAGAAATTTCAAAACATTTCATGCTGGATATTTACAATACACATAATATATTATTAATAAATAAATAATTTACTTATTTGTATCATGCTTTAACTTATAAAAAGATAAAATTACATGAATGTCATGCAATTAACACTCAATGAAGTGAAAAYGAAGTAAACGCTTATGAAACCAAAATATCCAAACACAGAACTTGGCAGTAGTATTCCTCGCTAGCCCCGACTTCCTTGTGGTAACAATACTGTCTTGTTAAAGACAATATATTAATAAATTGTTTAACTCCAATTTTACTTCTACTATAGATGGCTGGCACATGATTCCATTGAATTATGAGTCAGCATGTATTTACAAACACCTATTCCACTTACAGGAAGCACTCRATGATTGACAAGTGCCTTTTGATTAATCCTTTCCTGTATACTCRTAACTGAAAGTAGTTTCACACTTCACATTCACCTCTTTGTATTCTGTATAATAAATTWAAAAAATCTACCATGCAAGAATATTAATCTAATATTATTCTGTCTTGCTATTCTAATATATTCTATAATTTTAAATATTTAAAAGACAAACAGAATATGGCTGAGGAATGTTAGACTTCAGGTGCAACTCTAGGCGACATCTAAAAAACAAAACAAAAAACTTTTTGTGAACATCATATAATTTATCATATAATTTGAATAACATTTTATTGGTAATTGAAAGTGAAAAAAGGCAGTACATCAATTAATGAGAATAATGCACTTCCCTTTTATTTAGAATCAAAGAATGACAAGTTAGAATTGTTTGAGTTTAGTTCTTACCCCAAAGAGGTTTCTTGGTATGTATCCCAACTGCCCTGATGAGTTCCTAGCCCACCACCATTCCTTCTCTGTGTTGTCACCTCTTCTTAACACATGAAGTTCCTCTCCACAAGTAAAACTCAGCTCATCGTCCTCTGTGGCAGCATATGCGTAAAGTGCATACACCTTGCCTTGATTGGAGACACCAAAGTTTGTTTGGAGGTCTGATACAGAAACAAATTCTCATTACCAGCCTGAAGAAACACTGTGTCATTTATGACTAGCCTCCTTCGCAGGCAACTCTACCCTGTGGGATTCCTGTGTTAAGGCAAAAAAAGCTGCCGTAGGGGGAGGGGGCTAAGAAGGAATTATTTGTTCGCGGTTGTTCCTTGTTCCTAATCTCTTGACACCGGTTCTTCTCGGTCAAGATTATGAACACAGGAAGACCAAGAAGAGAAAAATGTCCGTTTCCATTGGAGTAGCCTGCGAAGGTGGCTAAGCCATGACATTAGGAATAATATAAAGTGATTTTGCTAATTCCATTTTTTTAAATTAATTTACAAAAAACTGTAAACCTCTTGACAGAAGTTTATTGTCAGTTTTGCAATTTTTGTCTGGATTCGTAAAATAGCAATTCAAATTATAGCAAAAGCTGGATAAGTTGAAACAAGTATAAACAATAAAAACATTTTTATACTATAAAAACTTCAATATGTATAATGTAGGGAAACTTAACCTTGGCTTGTCAAAAGCCATACCTTCGAGATAAGCAACACATTCTTTAAAACCAGGAAGGCTTTTCTCACAGCACTGAACTGGAGTTTTGTAATGCAACCCTGTTGTAGCAAAGATACAAGCGCCATTTTCCACCAAATACTGTACAATGATGATGTCATTATTCGCAGCAGCACAATGCAGTGGGGTCCTGTCGTAAAAAGACAGTAAAATTAATACACAACTAATTATCAATATCATACAATCATTAATATAATTATTGTGTAAAAAATGTACTTATTTTGATTGATTCCATATTTTTTTCTTACCATCCATGTGAATCAGGAAGATTGACATCACAACCATACTCAACTAGGAATTGTACCACCTCTTCATGATTCCCGCAAACTGCATTATGCAATGCTGTTATTCCATCACTATTTGCTAGACTTGGGTCGTCAACCTTTTTAAAAGGGAAAATTTTTATAGTCAACAAACAAGCAATGTCATTAGAGTGCATTTTTTCATCAATTATGCACGTAAGGAGACTGCTTGCATGTCAGTGACTTATTTTGCTATGAATTTTCCGTTGTTTAATTTTATCAAGTTCAACATGTGATACAAGACTTACATCTCTGATGACCCGTTTAACTTGCTCCAGTTCACCTTCCACAGCAGCATCAAGAAGGACAGCATGAGGATCCAGACTGACATGCCGAAGTTTCTTCTTGTCTGTTGCCCTATCCTTGTTAGCAATGAGGCCAACTTGTCTAGAAGATCCTTGAACAAATCTATTGCTATTTTGACCTTCTCTTCCTCTATTAATCTGTCTAGTACTATATGTCATGGATTCATCTTTTTGGGATTTAGCATCGTCTTTTTTCCCATTATTTGATGAAAATGTGACAGGAACTTTCTTGGCGTTGAAAGAGTCAACAGGTCGAACTTTAGCTGTGCGCTTTCCTTCTCCACTTTTAATCCCATCTATGCTCTCAAGTGTGTTTTTATTAGGGCTTCTTGGTGATGCTGAATGAGTTTTTAAAGTCTCAGAATCTTTTACTGGTTTGTTTTCATCATTCAAAAGTTTAGGAGGTTTAATTATCTCTCTAGGTCTCATGTCATTAGCAGGACTTTTTGGTGTATTATTTGTATTTGTTTCATTGTCTTTACACGGCTCTTCTTTATTTTCAAAGACTGGAATCTTTCCTGATGATACTAAAGTTATCTTTACTTTCGATACTTTAGATTGATTATTAAGACTTGAATCACTATTATCTTTTCTTGTGGCACTTGGAGATGTTCTGTAGTGGTCATCTAAAGGTTGAAAATTTTTATCAAGTGAAGTATGTTGGCCTGAAAGGTTTTCATTTAATTTAYTATCACTTGCTGGTAAACTATGACGTTCTTGTTTCATTTCTTCTCCAGCTAAAATATCTCTGACCATTGGAGAAGCAGAAACAACTGAAGCTGCTCCAGATGTTATACTTTGGGATTGGCTTAAAACATTTCTTGTTCCATCAATACTGTCTAAGTGCATTGTTGTTTGTGCATTTTTTACAACAGTTGGTGAAGGAACAGTTCTCTTATCATTGTTTTTGGAATAGTCATACACTCTAGCTTCGTAGAGAGTGCGTGGTTTTTCTTGAAATGTTGGAACTGCAAAAGTTTCTGTTCCTTGCGTCTTCACCTCTCTGAATTTCAGAGCATTTTCTGGTGCTCGATAGTCTTCACTTTTGACCAAACTCTTACTGATGGAAGATGATGATGAAAATGAAGACAGGGAGGATAATGAAGAAGGAGAACTAAGTGGAGAGGAACTAAACGTTCGTGAGTTAAATACACCATCAACTGGTGCATGTTGATTCTTTGAACCTGTTCGTTCACCTCTTCCTGGAAGATGACTATCAGTAGTGTTTTTAACCGGCTGATCTTTCCTGCTGGTTGGACTCTGAACTGTAGTTTCACCTTCAAAAAAGGAAGCTAGCTTGGAGACACGTGTTGCGGGACCAGAAGGAGGTGATAAAGGATCACCATTACTACTACCATCAGCAGATGAAGCCTTGCTGTAAGTGACTGAGGAGGTTTCATCTACCTCCACTAAAGTTTCAAGTTGTCTTGAATTTTCCTGGCGAGTGTTAGCATGCACATTTAAATCTGAGCCATTGTAGTTTGTAAACACCTCCTCATCATATTTGTCTTCAGCATTTGTGAACTCACTCCAGTCAAAAGATTCTCCATTTTCCCACAATCCACTGTCGTTGTCATGGTATTCAATGGAGCCATTGTACATGGGATGAGAGTGAGCAGGCATTGAACTCTGGGATTTCTTATTTCTAAGCTCCTCTGTGAGCTGATCAATTTGTGAATCAAGGTTAAAGAGTTCTTTGTGCTTTTCAGCAAGAAGTTTCTTTTGTGCTTGAAGCTGAACACTTTGTTGGTGGTTTAGTTCATTTCTAGTCTGGAAAGGAATATTAAATCATGAACAATCATAGAAAATGAAAAACATTGGAAGTGCTAAAAAAATGGGAAAGAGAGAAGAGGGTATACCATTAACTCCTGTTGAAGTCTGTTCAGTTCCTTCTCGTCTTTGTCTGTTTGTTTCATGTTTTTCTGTTTATTCCACTTCTCTCGCTGATGATTTAATTGTTCTGTCAGACCATCAACTTTAGCAGCTGCTATTGCAAGTTCATGTTCTTTACTATTGAAATGAACCTCCATGGACTGAAGTTCTGCATCTGATTAAATAATATTAAAACATGGATTAATATTGTGTTAAATATCATAGAAGCATCTGTTAGATTAATTTTTTTAATATACAATATTCTAGACAGAGTACATTTTCATGACTGGTGACAAAAAATTGAATTACTGTTTCCTTTACATTTCAGCTAAAACCAACATACCCAGAGCACTATTGCTAATCCTATACTCTTCAATTTGATCTTGTAGTTGTCTTAGATGTCTCATCTTTCTGTCTTGTTCTTGTATTTGAGCCTCAAGCTGGTCAACATACGAGCTTTTGATTTTTTGACGTGTCTGTTGCTTCAGTTCTCTTAGCTGTTGTTCCTTGTCAGCTAACTGCCCTTCTTTGAGTGCAATTTCTTGCTGTTGTCTTGATGCTAACTGCTGGAGCTCTTCCAATGACAATCCATTCCTTCCAGGTGACTATAAAGTTGTTATAAATAAATACTTTAGAAATGTCTTTGTTTCCATCTGTCTTTAGAACAGATATTTGAGTCATGACTGCACTTTTGATGGCTATAAATTGATATTGAGTAAGGAAAATCCTAAGCTTTCAAATATTAATGTCAAACTAATAGGTGCTGCACAGATCTGTAGATCTACACTGTAATTATAAATTAAAAATGAGATTTTCAAGCCTGAAGTCTCCTCCATTTTTTCTTTAAAATGCTATTAACCAAAAAATAGTTTGTAAAAACCTGAGAGTGAATTACATACCAGAGAATTGGTGTTACTGAGACTTAAATCATTGTGAATCACCAAGAGACTAGGATCTACAAAGAAAAAGAAATAAAATATGAAAGGTTTTTGAATTGACTGAATGCACAAGGTTGGTATAATTTGCCTGTTACAACAAATGTTTTTAGACTTAAAGGGAAAACAAAAGAATCATGGAAGAACCGTAAACTAAAGGACAAATTGACAAATAAAATACCTGGAGGGGGAGGAAGTGGTAGATCCTCCTCAATAATTTGAAGATCATCTGATTCAAGTATGCGAGGTGGGATGTCTTCTTCATTAGGTCTCAAAAAGAATATGACTTCATCTAAGTCTGTATCCCATTCTAGCAATGTATTATGAATAACTTCATCTTCAGGGACAAGACGTTCTGATGAAGATAAAATAATTAAAAAAACAAAACAAATACAACAAAACAACAAAAAACAAAACAAAATGTAAGCAAAAGGTACATCCTCAGAATTTCTGTGGCATAAGAAGCTATTCTCACCAAAAAAAAATGCTACATATCAGATAGGAAACATCTATAAAACACATTTCTAAGACTGACATTTTTACTCCCTCCTTACCCCCTGGATATGCCCATGATATAAATGACATATTAAAACATACCACATCCCTGCCAGACTTCTACAAGGCAGCAATTTGATTTTCTAATCTTTCTCTGGAGTCTTTGTACAATATCTTTACATTTTGTAGTTGGAGAAATGAATACTTCTGATGCAAAGCCATTTTCATCTAGATACACTTTTAATTTTATCTGTAAGTAAACATTAAGTATGAAAATACAGTAAACTCTCAATAAGTCCTAATGAATATTGATAGAACCTACAACTATATGAAAGGACAGGACAACAGGACATCATGTCACAAATCAAAAGGAAACGCTGGAAATGACTCAGGCATGTATTAAAAGATCAAAGATCATCATTATTGAAAGATCAAGATAATATAACAAGACAGGCATTGAAATGAACACCAGATGGTGGGAAAAGGAAAAGGGGAAGACCAAAAGAAACTTGGAGAAGGACAATAGAGAAACATTAAGTATGAAAATACAGTAAAATTCTCAATAAAGTCCTAATGAATATTGATAGTATCATCCTACCTTTATTAACAAATTTATACAAACAACCTAGCATTTTGTGTGCAATTTTAGAGTTACTTTTAAAGTAAAAAAGTAAAACAACATGCCAGAACATGCTATAGACCTTAGGAAGTTCCTTCAACTTCTAGAAACAAGATCTAAAAGACTTTGTACCTACTGGGCCGGGCACCCAGGGGTATTATTTCAGATTCTATAAAAAATCACATCAATGACCTGGAAATAGTGCAAAAGTGGAAAATTTGGAATTTAAGACAAACATTTAAAAGACATCACCTCAAATGGTTATTCAGCAGATCAAAAACACTCTCTAATCTATCATTGTATAATTGCAATTTTTTAAACACTTTAGTGCCTCTATTGCACTATTTTAGCAGGTTTTAAAATTTCATCAATGTTTACAGTAAGTATCTAAATATACGATACCTAGTAACTGGTTGCATTATTAATAATTCAACAATTATTGTAGACCGGCCACCAGTTGAAATACCACAGGAAAAACCATATGAATATGATAACAAAATGTCAGAGGAGTGCATTAAATACAGCATATATCTTTCGCACATACAATTGTCGCCGGAATTTTAAAATCCCTCGCCCCATATTATGGAAATATTGAGAGAAATTTAAGCATTAAACAAAACGCTACCATATAGAAACTTAAACTTAAACTTATTATATCAATAAGGACGAATTTCTTTCTGTATAAGAAATTGTTTGTAAAAATTCCATTAAATTATCCAATGTAACTTGACTAATGTCGGACTAGTGAAAGATTATGACAGCGTTGCTCTAGATTCTCAATTAGCTACGTTTTCAAGATCAATATCAATGTGAAAACCACCGCTGCAGAAACGATAATATTGAATTATGGCTCAATAGTTTGTATAAATCTGACAGGTTCATTTCAAACCAACAAAACATGAGATGTTATTGAAGATCACTAGTGCGAGAAATACAAACAGCACATCTTTTGAAAATTCGTGCGGAAGCAGGCTTTGTGTGACACAAGAACATCGTTAATTCGATCGTCTTCTTTGGCGCAGTAACACAAATATCTCGTTTGAAATCACATTTTTTGTATTGAAAAACAGCTGATTTAGTAATCTTGCTATGCATTAGTTATCAACTACGCAACATCGCCTCTTGTGCTTGTTTTCTCGTACAATGACACAAAGCAGTTGTCTAAATTGTCTTGGTATTCTTTTGTTCTGTGTTAGACGTAATGTTACACGGTTCGCTTGCTCTGACCGCAAGCTACTATAGAATGTATAACATACATTAACGTGCCAAAGATTGATTCGTAAAGTATTAGTAGTTGATATTATAAATACTCTGGTTCTTATATGAGCGAATTATTTATAACTTACCCGTCCTTTAGCCGCCATGTTGTTTACCATCCAGCATGCCCTTCGAGTTTACGTTCCTAAGCACTAACGAAGAATTATACTTAGAGGGGAGGCATAAGTAAAATCGTTGCACTAATGCAAATAAAATAAAAAATAATTTTAATCTTTGCAAAAATGCTAGCATAATACATGTAACCTTCAAAATACCTTGAAAACCTCTATTATTTTGTTATGATGAAAGATTGCATAAGTTTATATATATATATAAATAAAGTCAAGATTTAAAATAGTCCGATACCCACTCTCCCTTGGGAATAATTTGCTCCTGAAAGCGCGGTAAATTCTTTTACGATGCGAGTCATCATGGTTGTCTTTCCTAAATCATAACAATACATGACTATGCCGTAGGCTTCGACGGGACAATCTGTTTGATCAAAATGGCAAATAATGAACGTATTGTAGCGTTGATCGACATGGATTGCTTTTATGTTCAAGTGGAGCAGAGAAGATGCCCGTCTCTACGAGGTCAACCTTGTGCAGTAGTTCAGTACAATCAGTGGAAAGGTGGCGGGTAAGAGCAATTCGGGAAAAAAAATGTAACTTGATTTTTTTATTGAATATTTGTCTTTTTAACCACTAAATTGAATATTATGCATATCGAACGTTATTTTTTCTCAATCAGGGCTTTATGCACCAGTGTCAATGTATTAAGGGGGTTGGACAAAGGGTGATGAGTTTTGTCATTTAAAATAATAAAATAAAAATAAAAAAGGCCACATATTTGTCACTAGAAATGYTCAAGATAGCAATGAAATCCTTAGAAATATGATAGGTTCATTTAGAAAGCYTGATGTCAGGAAATGATCTGAAAAWCTCTAAAGTGAAACTAACTTGTATCACAGTATCATTGCTGTYAGCTATGAAGCAAGGGATTATGGAGTAACAAGAAGTATGCGTGGTGATGATGCCAAAGCTAAATGCCCTGAGATTCAGCTAGTTCAAGTTCCTGTAGCACGAGGCAAAGCCAATCTWACCCACTACCGMGAAGCTGGTGCAGAAGTCATAGATGTACTGTTCAGGTTTTGTGATGTTTGTGAAAAAGCAAGTGTAGATGAGGCATACCTCGACTTAACCAAGACTGTTGAAAGGTTTGTATGCATCTAGTTAAAMAGCAGAGTGCAGCCTGGGGAYGAGGAATCATGAAAAAGCCTAACCTCATCCCCAGGACCATCTCAACTGACTGAGGCCTTGGAAACATAGGTTGAATAAGACCATATGARAGAATGGAAGGGAAGAAAGTATGAGACATATAAAGTATACCCCTATTGGTATTGCGGCAAAATGTCACCTGGAATTATGACGACTTAGAAAATGCTGGTTTATATATGACTCATTATGTATTATGCTTAACTCCAACCTACCATTCAAAAATCAAATTACTTACATACATGTAAATATTGTATTAAAGAAAAGCATCCAAGATGAGTGTTGCAGACATTGCTGAAGAATCATGGGATTCTTCATTCATTGAAGGTTTTACAAACAMAGAAAATAAGCAGGACAARAATACTTGGATATCTGCACTTGAAGGAAATTCMAGCTTGAGGAATTTAGCAGTAGGAGCCATTATTGTCTCAGAAATAAGAAAGGCCGTCTTGTCAGAAACAACTTTTACTTGTTCTGCTGGGGTTGCCAATAACAAGGTGAAWGAATTAAATCAATGACTAATACCCACACACAGCATTGAATGCTGTCAACCCGGGGGGGGGGGGGGGGACTCCCTAATATCAAAGGGCGGGGGTCCTCGGTGGAAATTATGAAAATGACCCCTAAGAGGGACCTGTGTTTGGAGTGGTAGTGCTGAAATTTCACTCCTAAAAGGGACCAATYAATAASAGGTCATTTTGTTTTAGTTCAATGCAGCACCTACCTTTCATAGGAAMTATGACAGCTTAGGGAYGTCATATACCCTAAAAGGGACCACAAAACTCAGTTGGGGGGAACCCTAAGCGGGACCAAAATAAMGATTTCAAACCCTAAAAGGGACGCCGAGGACCYCCACCCTTTGATATCAGGGCTGTCAATTCATAATACCAATGACGTGTGCAATGTTTCAAGTATATAAAGCCTACATTCCACATGTTTAAGATTATTATYTAGGAACAATCATTCTCAGTTTTGTACTGTGTTGGGCAATCATCCTCATCTCTATTTTAGATGTTAGCTAAGCTTGCTTGTGGACTTCATAAACCTAACAAACAAACCATCCTTCCAATGGCACAAGTATCTGAGCTGTTTAAAACTGTCAAGTTAAGAAAAGTGTGAGTAAAATATTAAATACAAATTATGTGYCACTAAGTGTTTAGTGCTATTGATTTTGTTATTTAGTTCATAGCATGTTGTCAGTGTTAACTGGGTTATTGAGACTGAAGGTGCTGATGACACTGACATCCACCTCATAAAACTCACAAAGAGTGTGTCATGTTCATGTATGGTCAGGTGTACATTCTAGGAAACCCTGGAATATTCTTCAGCCCCAATTTAGTAGCTTTGGGACATTTTGGATTCCTGTGTACATATTTTGAGTAAAGAGATATCTCTTGTTATACTGCCACTCCATTGGATCCACTAGATTGTCACCCTCAACTTTGTTTTCAGGCGAAATTTAGGAGGTAAACTTGGTTTGGACATTAGTGCACAGCTCAATGCAGARTATATGGCTGACATTGCTAAGTTTTCCCTCAATGAACTCAAAGCACRATTTGGAGACAAAACAGGGTAGGCATTTTGTTACAATGTCACAATCACTGATAAGCTTGGGTAATAGGATATGTAACCTTGTGTTTTAATCTTGTGTTTTTGGTGAGTTAGTAGAAAAGAGGACACACTATTAATGAGTCTTAGTCATTACTACAGTTTTACTTTTATTACATGGTGGCTGCTAGTCAACAAGGTTTGCACCTTGTAGTTATTCTTTTGAAGTGGAAATGCCTCCTTAACAGTCCTAGCCCTGTGCAACTTGAAAAATACTCTATGCCTTTGTATAAAGGTGATATGACTGTTGAGTGTCGATGACAGAGACCTGTGTATAATGAAAGAAAGAGGGTTTCTATCATTTACACACTTGCTGGTTTGTCTTGCCTCTGTGCAAAGGCAAGGAACTATGAAAGAGATTGTTTTCTAGATTGTTTCTCCTGAGTAAAACTTTGATTAAAAATGACACAAAGGAACGACTGCATAGGAATATATCATAGATTGTTATGCTTGTAATTGTAAAGAAAAGAAACACTCCTAACCATTATCACTGTAAAATTCTAGTGAATGGGTTTATCTCGTAAGCCAAGGAATTGATCATGAGCCTGTACGGGTCCGTCAGTTACCGAAATCTGTTGGYTGTGGCAAAAACTTTCCTGGAAAAACAAAACTTTCAACTGTTGATCAGGTATACATTTTAGACATTAACACTCAATACTCTAGATACACATTCAATCCACTCGATACAAACTCGATACATATTCAATCCACTCGATACGAACTCGATACAAACTTGATACACATTCGATATACATTCAATTTTTTTTCATCAAATTTTTTACTAAGGTTCGTCATTGGTTACAACAACTTGTTGAAGAGTTGCATGARAGGCTAGAGAAAGAAGTTGAAATTGTGAGTTTTTTTAATGCATGCTTTCATTCATCAATGCCTTGATTTATTTGCTTATTCATTCAATTATTATGAACTTAGAATAACCGTCATGCCAAGTTGATTACAGTTGGCGTCCGGCCAGAAGATGCTGGATATAGCTCAAGGTCATGTGCTTTGCGAATGTTGGATGTAAAGCGCATGATAAAGGATATATTTGAAGTACTGCTCACATTTCGCACCGCTAAGCAAGACTCAAATATATGGTAAGTGATAAGATGCAATATACATTAATTATTAGCAATGACTGTTATCTTTTTATTTCTTAACCAGAAGAGAATCTATAAAGARAAGCCACACAACCACATTAACTTAAATTTTGTGCTTTTTCTTGCCACAGGGAACCCGCTATTACAAATCTTAGCTTATCAGCCAGTAAATTTACAGACAAACAAGACACCAACACTACTGCTATCAGCACTTTCTTTAAAAATGTTCCAAATACTGGCTCACTGGATTCTATAGCCAATACATCAACCACCAGCACTTTAGACAACACAGATGCATCCACTAGTCAATGCTCGTCACCAGCACCATCTAATGGTAGTGATGATAAAGGAAATACAAAATTGCTTAACTCAAAACTTGGTATTAGGAGATTTCTAACTGCAAACACAGAAGATTTGAAAGAAGTTAAAAGTGATATAAATGAGAYGGTGACAATTAAAACATCTCCAAAAAAGACTGGAATTCARGCATTCTTTTTCAATAGTTCAGAACAAAAAAATGCAACAAATGATAAAYTGCAGGAAAAATCTATAGAACAAGATATAAYAACAGAAAATTCAACTAGAAATGGTGGATTGCTTGCAAAATCTGCATGTTCAACTAATGAAGAACTTAACACCAATTCAGGAATAACACAGCAAGAAGAAAGTGAAGAAACTATCAATGTTGATCTTGTAGTATGTAAGAAATGTGGTGAAAAGATTTCTGCTTGGGAATTACCAGAGCACTTAGACTTTCATTTTGCAAAGGAACTACAGGAACAAGAAAGAACTTCACCTGCTTCTGAACCTCCAAGGAAAAAACTTAAAACAGCTGGAAAAATATTTTCATTTTTCTCTTCCAAATAGTAAAAAATACAATCTGTGGAGTTGCAGTTGGTGAATATTTTAATGCAAGCATTCRAGTCTCCACCACAGCTGTTAMCRGTGTTATAGTGCTGCCTGTAAACAAGTGCAAGAGAGAGTMTAGCTCTTTTTACTGCTTATGATAAATTATAGTCAATTTTTGAGCTGAGTTCTTTCACACTCAAAAAATGCTGCTCTTGTTGTATGTAAATTAATTGTGTAAAAAGACATTGATTTTGTACAGCACAAATGCCAAAACAAACACAACCAATTGTCAAAAAAATATATATTGAAATCAATTGAACAGAATAACTTAAATTTCTATTGAAAYATTGTAACTAAAATTAATAAAAAATAGATCATTTTTTAATAAGATAATACCATTTAATTTATCTTTTTGTTCTATTTACATTGTTACAAAAACTAGTATGTGGGATGACAAAGAGATGGAAACATTCATGTCTCAATAAATGTTACTAATAAAGTCCCCGTCTTTGTTCACACTAAAAGTACATATCATGTACCAGCTTTGAAACCTGATCAAAATTTAATTAACATTCTATTTTGACCATTCATATTATAAATAATATTCAGATGTGGATTGAGCCTACAAGACTACATGAAGTACTGGTATTAATGACAAACTGTGTGAGCGCTGATGTGCCATCCACTCGTACCCTTTCYTGTATGATTATCACGTTACTTCAGAAAAAAGTAACTTCTGACTACTACTTTCTGCAAGAAGACCATCAAGCRGTCTGATTTTGCTTCCACATTCTTGCCATTTGCAGCAATTTAAAGTTTGGTAAACTGTCTTCATCGTCAGGGAAAATATAGTCGTAGTATTCTTCCCATCCAGCATCAGACTGAAAATAAAGTTGATTATGTGAATGAATGTCATGATAAAAAAACACTGTACTATACAATCATGTACAGCCATCAATAGAAACAGTGTTAAAAGTGCTTTTACCCCATCATTGGCTTGAACCTTTCTCCTTTTCTTCACTCTTCTGGGCATCTTGTTTTTGATGACTTGTTTAGCAGCTTCATCCTCTCCTTCGTCCTAAAATATAAGTCAACATCATAAATTTGGATGAGTAAGTGTTTCATGAGAAAAATATTAAGATAAAACAAAATTATGACACACAGTATCCACTGTTTCATAAGTATGAGTTTGAAGAAGTAAAAGTTAACTGTGAACTTACAGAAAGAGCCTAAAAAAGGGGTCGACTTGGAAACGGGTGAGGATGATCATGATACTGTCATCTTGATACCTAACTTACCTCAAACTCTTTCCAGGCCTCCAGAAGCATCACTCGCTCCTCTTTGTTTTCGACATTTTTCAGCTGCTTGTCTGCACGTTTATAAATATTTCTGCATTGATGCAAACACAATCATTGTCTCATTGTCAGTGGAACATGAAAATTTTGATTTTCAAAGAATAGTGAGTATCTTTAGATAACAGGCCATTCAGCTCATGCATCCACCTCCAAAATGGTATGTCGTCATATYATATTTGTTTTTGTGCTTTTACCTGGTTTGATCTCTGCATCCATCAGTGCCTGTTGATGATTCAAACTGTGCGTAGCTTATCCATACCTGACAAATTAATAATGCAGATTGAAGCACCATTGAAGCTGCATAAATAATATTATCTCAAAATAACAAGTTTGCAATACCTTGACATGATTGGTTCTTTCTAGTAAGCGTTCATACAAGTCACGTGATCTGTCGTACTCTTCTTGGTTGATTTCAAAATCAATGTATGCTTTCCATAACACCTAAAGGCCAATAACAAAGGGCATGACCATTTTGTATTGAAAACCAAACACACTTATAATAAACAGTWTACCATACCTCAGGCATATCTAAGAGAGGTTGATTGACAGCTAATTCAAAGATTGCTCTACATCTACTAGAATCCCCAAGGATGGACTCTAATTCAGAATACTATAATCACAAAAATACATTAATTACATAAAGAGCTAAATAATAAAAGTTTGAACACAGAAAACTCACCTTAACCCATGTAGTACAGTTTGCTGGGTTGAATTCTAAAAACTTTTCATACAGTTTTCTGCATCGGTCAAACTCTCGAAGCTGAAAACAATAGTAATTTTCAATCTATAAAAGTCAGTGTGTTGGGTGGACAGTGCTTATTGCATCTGTGAAATTTTATTTKGACTTCTTGCATAGTAATTTAAACAACAGTAAACAAGAAATAAAGAAATAGATACACTGTGCTATTATCTGGTGGATAATTTTTTTTACTGTACCTGTAGCTCTAGCCCTATATATTCTCGGAATAGTTTATCCTTGGGGCACTTTCCAATTGCAGTTCCCTTTTGAAAGTCAAAACACACTTGATGAGTTGTATTGCTAGTTAAATTTTATCATTAATGTTTATATA